CAATCGAAAGAGTCATCACTCTACGTCCGTCGATGTAATCGATCATCTATTGCAGGCTACAACTGAGATAACATCACAAACGATCTTTAAAGGAAAGCTTGTCGGCTCACCCTCATATGCAAGGTATTATGTTTTAATAGCCAACCCATTTTATAGTATTAACAACCACCATTTTGCTTATGTAAATGCCACAATCAAAATGCAGTATGAAATAATAAATTCTGATCATTACAAGAAAAAACTATATAATAATCAAAATCATTAAAAATTAAAATGAGATTTGAGTTACTTATAATAAATACAAAAAATCTGTGAACAAATTGACGAATGAAAAAGCCTCGAATAATCTTCTCTCTCTCTTCCATCTCTCTTCTTCGGCAAGATACGACGTTGAAATTCAAATTTCTTATTAAAAAAAAATGATTATTATAGGTGTAGGCTTAGTTTCCTTAGTAGGAGGGGGATTCAATATTCATTGAATTGGTTTGATTCAACTAAAGGTTTTATTTATTACAAGATGAAATATTTCTCATATAAGTTGTTGAGCTATTTTATTTGTGATAGCGGTATAAGATGCCAATATTCAAATTTATCTAATAAAAATGACTCATGATTGTATTTTATGAGTAAAATATAATAATGTGCCATGATTGAATTATATAACCAAGTAGCGGGAGCCAATATATATTATGAAAAACTTAATGCTCATGTTTATTATACCAATATTATTGTCATTGATTTATCAATCATTTTTTTAGAGGCGCATCATGTCACAACCCAACCCAATACAACTTGCAAGTAGAACGAGTAATATTGTGTTGGATGGTAACATACTAAGTCAAATATCTAATTTGGAAAACTTTTTCTTCATATTTTTTTAGTTATTAAAATACAACAGAGTTACTCATTCACTTTCAAGAAATATAAAATATACTCATATATATATTTATTCCATTTCTTTAAAATGTGTAAATATAATAGAACCTTTATAATATCGTACATAGCTATAATAGAGGCATAATAGAGTAGAAAATAGCAATAATTGTACAATGTTTATAAGCTAGAAAATACCTAAACAACTAGCTAGGAGGATTATAACTTGCAACCTCACCTATTCAACTGGCTCTTTACACTTCCTTGACTTCGAAATAAAATTTAGAATATGTGTGAGCTAATACAACTCAATATGTCACACCTACCGATCTAAATTTTAAATATTTAAACCGATATTCATTTAATTGAATTAAAAATAAATATTAACAAGCTAATATATTGAACAAAATAATGTTCGCAGATATCATAAATTAAATGCATTTTGAAGAAATTATAAATAAACTTATATTTAAATGCCCTTATGACTCTCAAATGTTAAGCACATTAGAATTTAAAAAATTCAAATCCTTATAACTCCTAATGCATTTAACACAACAAAACTTTCTCTAACATCATAACTCATCATAATCATATTTTTTTCCAGCACATTAACACACATATAATTGTAATTCAATGAAATAAATAGAAATATTCAAAATACATAAATTCAAAGAATGTTATATCGGTAGCCAACAAATTCAATAACTGAGCAGAATTTCATAGTTTTATAATTTTACCAATTTTCCATAGATTATGTAGAGTATTATTTTGAAGCTTAACATTATTTTTTGAAGTCATAATCATTTTTCACTTCGCTAAAATAGCACATTTTATAATTTACCTTTTGAAATTTCTTAAAGAAAATACAAAATCATCTTACACATATCTATAATATAAAGAAAGTTACATGGTTAAACTATAGCGGATGGGAAGTTATCTTCGTATTTATACTACAAAATTATAATTTTAATTAAAAAATCCCAAAATTTTACATTATTAATCTGAGATAGACAGAATATAACCAACCTTGATCCAGACAACTTTTTAAACTCGACTGACAGTAGAAAACTAATCGAAGTTAGTTGAAACCAACTTTTTTTATCTAAAATTCTTTACTCTATCAAAGCTGGTTGCCTTAGGGGGTTTGATTTTTGGCTAAAATGAATTAGAAGTAAAAGTTTATATTTTTATAAAAATTTGACCTGGTGCAGCGACACTCCAAACAACGGTGTCACTACACCGACACTATTCATATTAAATGACCTAAAACACGAGAACTTAGCATCGCAACGCCCTCCAAACCTAGCTTTGCGATGCTCCTAAGATAAAAATTAATGTTTTATACACACATCCTTTTGAGATATGTTATAAAAATAGAATTGAAGCATTCCATGCATTCAAAACATTCATAGACTCATGCAGAATGAAAAGACATAAATTCCATAACATCAAACTTACTGGACAAGGTCAGAATGGGTGTAACACGGTTACTATAGGTATTACACATCATGGAGCTTGCACTCATTATGTGATAGTGATATTATGATGAAGTTCAAAACTAATAATTGTCTTGAGAAATATCACTTAGCTTTCAATGCTTATAGAGAGTTGAGTTATATAGGCAATAAAAAACATGTCAAGAACATGGTCATAACATCTTATACTGTGAATGAAGTTGACTTTAAGTGAGGGCTCATGCTTTCTATCATATAAATTGATATTTTAGAAAGCTTCAACCATATTAAAATGAGTGTATGCTCATTTTAATGATAAAAAATAATAAGAGTTTTTGAGGAACACAATATACAAATGTTTGATCAATATAAATAATATTGCATAAAAAAAAAATACTTTAGAAAAAGATATTGAAGAAGCATAAGAGAGCTCGTTAATAAAACTAAAAACTTAATTATCTACCGCATTAGTGAATTTAAAATGCATATATTTGACAGTGACTTTAATATTGATGTTGTTTTACTGAAGATGACATGTACATATAAAAAGTTTGATGCTACAATCACCGCGAACATGCGTTGGTTGTTGCTTGGTGCCGAGGTGGTTGTTATTATAACCTACGTTCAAAGTTCTATACACTACAGAAAATATACATTCAATAAAAAAAGAAGACACTTGAGAGGCTCCAAATAAAATAACTAGAGTCATTATGCTATATCTTTAAGTGAAGTTTAAGAGCGGTTGCACAAAGTTCAATAAAAGGCCTTCAAGTTGGAGAAGGATGTGATCTAATGTAGATAACCTAGTCACTTGTAAAGCTATATATCCATCACCTTGATAACAAGTTTTTTTTACTTTTCTTATTATTGAAAGAATATTTTAAGTGCTTAGAACAATTCTAATTATTGAAGAAATGTCATTGAATGGTTGTAAAGTAGTGTAATATTTCATCATTTTGATGATTATATCATAGCATTATAGCATGTAAAGTCAAATTCGAATATATCATATGTACTTGCTAGCGACTTTAATGTTGATGTTGCTTTACGAGAGATGACATGTACATATAAAAGTTTGATGTTATGATCTCTCTATGTGAACATGTTTGGTTGTAACTTGGAACTAGTGTTCTTGTGTTTAAAGTTATATACATGGTACTGAAAGTATATATTCATTAAAAAAGAAGGTACTTGACAAGTTTTAAATGAAATAATTAGAGTTGTTGTGCTATCTCTTTGGTGAAGTTTAAAAGCGGTCGCTCAAAGAAAAATAAAATGCCTTCAAGTGGGAGAAGAGCGTAGTATAATATAGGTGTAGTCGATGTGGAGTGAGAGGCAATAACCTAGTCACTTGTAAAGCCATATATGTCTATCAAATTCATAGTAAGTTTTTACTTTTTTTATTATTATAAGAATATTATAACTACTAAGATTAATTGTATTTATTGAAAAAACAAATCATTGAATGGTTGTATAGTGACTGCATAGTGACCGTTATATAGTGACTGTGTAGTGACGTAATACTTCATCATTTTAATGATTATATCATAGTATTGTAGCTTATAAAGTCAAATTCAAATATATATATATATATATATATATACATATATATTAAAAATATTTACACATAAAAATAATTTTTTTGAATATATTTATCTATTTAGATAAATTTTTAATTGTATGAGGCCTACAAAGTCAAATGCGCTATACTATTATCTATCGCTTACTGCTTATTTGATGCTGGTTCAAGCGTAAAATTATTAGGTCCGGACATCGGACCTAGAAATAGGTCCGGAAATATAATTAAAAATTTTCATGTGGACTGTGCTTTTTGACTGTGCTTTGAATGCTCTTTAAGTGCGCTTTGACTGCGCTTTAACTGCACTTTAACTGTGCTTTGCCTGCACTTTACATGTGTTTTTGACACACTTGACTTAAAATTCCACGGACACATATGCATTTCACATGTCAAAATTTTATTTAGCACCGGGAACAATTATTAGGTCCGGTGACTGGACGTAGCTCTACGTTCGGTCACCACTGAGATCGCGCCACGTGCTCTTACTCTTTACCACGCGGCCCGACAACTTGACCCGGACCGGAACCCAGTAATGCTATGTTCGCGTATTGCTATGTATTACTCGGTATTTGCTCGGTATTGCTAGGTATTGTTTGACAATAATGAGAAATACCGCTCTGTGAAGACCAATACCGAGCAATACCGAGTTTTTCTAGAAAAACTCGATATTGCTCGATATTTGCCTTCACATAATGGTATTTCTTGTTATTGCCGAGCAAAATCGACAAATACCTAGCAATACCGGGTTATCATGGATTTAAAAAACACACATGTGACATACCCACTGTTCGCCGGGTCGGGTCCGCGGTTTTGTGGCTGCTACGTGGCACGATTTCAGTGCCGGCCGAACGTAGCTCTACGTCCGTTCACCGGACCAAATAAAAGTTCTAGCACCGGATATCTTTACGTATGGTGTCCGAACCTAATAATTTTCCTCAGCAAGCAGATTGCACCGCTTCTCGAGCCTAACATTTGGTCATCTTCTCTGTGAAACTCTCTCAACGCTTCTAGAAACCCGTAGAACCTTCTGTCGATCGACACGCCACTCACATCGACGCACCACTATAATCTCCATCGGATATATTTAATCCTAACCTAACCAGCTCGCTGCAAAGAGGCAGATCTAGCTCAAAATAATCAATCTCATTAACAAGCTCACCAAGCAGAAGAGATGTTCGGGGTTGTCTTCCCCGACCGCAGCTTCCCGATGGATATCTCTGCCTTTTCGCAGATCGACCCGCTCCATTGGCTTCTCGACATGAACACCTTCGTTGGTATGTCAAAACCCTATATTTTCTCCTCCTAATCCGACCCTATACCAAATCCTACTGCTATGCCAAATTGCTCTTTTTTACGACCGCAGGCGCAGCCTACTACGAGGTGAGAGAGATGTGCATCTTCCTCCTCAACGCCGCCTTGCTGCCTCCGGAGAAGGCCCTCGCCGTCTACGTCCAAGTCCCTGGCCAGCCCTTCCTCTTCTGCGGAGCAGTCCACAACGCCCGCCCCTCTGCCGTTCTCTCCCTCCCTTGGCCTGACCCTGCCGACATAGCTGACTCTGCGGCGGGAGCCATCCAGGTCGCCGGCGCAGCGGCCAAGATCGGAGTATCTGTTGAGGACCTGGCGTCGCTGCCTCCAGTTGTGGACGCCGGTGCCGAGAAGAGGATCGAGCGGCTTGCGCTGCGAGTTGGTGAGAATCTCTTCAATTTTATGCAGTCGTTCTGCGGCGTGGATGGATCGCGGCTCGTGGTGCCCATGGATATACTGGACCGATGGTTCAAGAAGTTCCAGGAGAAGGCGAAGCGGGATCCCACATACCTCAAGGGCTTTGCCTTGTGACTGGTGGGGATTGGGGGAAAAGGTACGAGCTCTCTTGCTCTTGGATTTGTGTGTTGAAATGGGCTAGTTCTCTGTTGTCTTGGAAGAGAACTAGGGTTTGGGTTGGTGATGCCCTGAGGTGGGTTGCTGGTCAACTTTTTTGTTGAGGCTTATATTTAATTTGAGGGAAATTCAAATGGAAAATTATCACCATCTTCAGTGCATTTTTCAGTTCTAATAAAATGAATGCGTAAATTTGTTAAGCATTGGCATATTCAGATGCCCCTTGTGCGGGATATTTCTCGTGTCTTTATGCTATTTTGATGTTTAAAAAGATTCGGAATTATTCTATTTTGAAGGAGTATTGGTGTAGTTGATAAGAATAAGGCGGTTTGATTTCTTGTCTAGGATGGGCTGAATTTGTATCTCGTAGCCAAAATTATCCTGCTTAGGGGTCTTTTCGATTAGCTACCATGGAGAAGCAGAATGTTTATCAATTAAGTAAAACAAAAAATTGATGCATAGTAAAATTTTTGTATGAAGAGCTTTGTTGTTTGTTTGATTCATTGTAAACTTGATGTATTTACTATCAATCTGTTTACAGGTTTTTTTGTTAATGAAAAGTACTTAATACTGCAATTTATGGGTGCGTTTGGGACGACGTTGCTTCTGCTTTGTTGTATAAAAAGTAATTAAATCCTCGTTTGGGGCATTGCGGCAGAATTGTGACAGAAAAAATTCACGGCACATAGCGGCTTATTGCAACCTTTCACCGTCTC